GCTCAATGATAGAGGGCTTGCCTAGCATGCATGAGGCCCTGGGTTCCATCCCCAGCACAGCAAAAAAAAAAAAAAAAAAAGTAAAATAACAGTATTTTGAAAACTATGTTAACATCTCATTTCAAAGAAAATCATAATTAACTTACAATATATCCATGTGGTATTCAAGGAGACCACGTCATCCACAGACATTAAAATGATACCTTAAAATATATTGAATCTTTTAGAAAGTATTTTTAAAAGATTTTAAAGAACCTGTAAACATGCATATGACATACAAGTTGTTAAAAATAACACTACATTATACGTAGTATATGATCACAATGATTTTAAAACATGTACAAAGAAAACACTGGAGAGACTTGCTTCAAATAGTCAACAGTAGAAGCATGGTGAGAAACAGAGCATGGTCTACTGCTGGAGAACCCTCTGGGTTTCTGGACCCAGGCCCCTGGGTGAGCTGGAGGGCACACAGGGACCAGCCTTGGCTTGTGCCTTGCAGATATGTGCTGTGGCTGCCCACTGGCTGGGCCCAGGCCACAAAGAATAGACAGACCAGCCTCTCCCCTAGCCCCACCTCTATGGCCTGTCTGAGCCGGGACCCATGGGCTGCCAGGTCTCCTGGACCAGCTCTCTCCCACCCAGTCAAAGGCCCCATTGAGGACATGGTGCCTTTGGTGAGGCATGGCGAGGGGAGACGAGGCGAGGCCTGGCATGGTGAGGCACGGCAAGGTGAGGCGAGACCAGATAAGGCGAGATGAGGTGAGGCGAGGTGAAGCGAGATGAGGCCTGGGGCATAGCATGTGGCGCGGCGTGGCGCGGCGTGGCGCGGCGTGGCGCGGCGTGGCGCGGCGTGGCGCGGCGTGGCGCGGCGTGGCGCGGCGTGGCGCGGCGTGGCGCGGCGTGAGGTGAGGTGAGGTGAGGCGAGTTGAGGCGAGAAAAATGGCCCCCGCTAGAACGTCATAGAGGCTGGCAGGGGCCTCAAGGTCCTGAGAGGGTGGAAAGCTGGGCCAGGCGTTAGACCCTTAAAAGAAAACTGCTCCATCTGGACAGTCTAGACGTAAAGACGTTGACAAAATATGATAAAGTAGAGAGAGAAAATAACGTGTATTTGGGGCTGGGGTTGTGGCTCAGTGGTAGAGCACTTGTCTAGCACGTGTGAGGCCCTGGGTTAGAACCTTAGACCCGGGGCCGCCCAGATCAGGGCCGTGGGTGACCACTGTGGTTTTGAACGAGACCTCACATCTTCCTGACGAGACAAAGGCGTTACCTAACACCTGTTCAGGAAGGTGAGTGAAGTCCCTGTCGACTACAAGGGGAGTTTAAGGCCGTCGAGGGCGGGTGGGGGCGGCAGGGACTTGGCGGTCGGTGAGGGACCAGTTAGTGGCCAACGGGGAGAACATAGGGGAGACAAGAACGGTTAGCGGTCCCTGGGGGACAGTTAGAGGCTGACCGGGCGGGGGAACGGCTAGAGGCCGGCGGTGGACTGATTTGCCGTTGGGAAAACCGTTAGAGGGCGGTGGGGGATAGAGGGCGGTCGGGGAGACTGTTCGCAGCCATCAGGGAACAGTTAGCAGCTTGGGGGGACCGTTAGAGGCCGTCAGGGGGTGGGGGCTGTTAGGGGTCCATGGGGGAACCGTTAGAGGCTGGGGGTACCGAGCGGTTCACTGGGGCCGGTTGGCAGGTGGGGAAACCAGGCCTTGGCGGGGGCCTGTTGGGGTCCATGGCGGGGACCGTTAGGGGCTGGGGGTGGCACTTAGTGGCCCACAGACAGTTGGCAGTGTTTGGGTGGAACTGTTAGTGGCAGGGACGGGTTAGAGGCCAGTGGGGTGGGACAGGGCAGGGGTGGGGACGGATAGCAGCCATCAGGGCGAACTTGGGGATCCACGTGGGGGAACGGTGGTTAGCAGCCATGGGGTGCAAGGGTTAGCAGACCCTGTTCTGCTGGTGTGAGTTCTGGCCAAGAGAGAAACAGCAGAGGAAGGCACCACGTTGGGCTCAGTGGCCCCGCCTTGGGGAAGGTTCACTGGCCCTTGTAGAAGGCGTGTTTCTGCAGAATGAGAACACTGCTCTCAACTTTCTCCCAACCCTTAAAAGAAAACTGCTCCATCTGGACAGTCTAGACGTAAAGACGTTGACAAAATATGATAAAGTAGAGAGAGAAAATAACGTGTATTTGGGGCTGGGGTTGTGGCTCAGTGGTAGAGCACTTGTCTAGCATGTGTGAGGCCCTGGGTTAGAACCTTAGAACCACATAAAAATAAATAAGCGAAATAAAGGTATTGTGTCCAAGTACAACTAAAAAGTAAATTTTAAAAAAAAGAAAATAACATGTTTTGTAAATGCCTGTTTGTTTTTACTCTATTCTGTAAATGACTTTGAAATGTTGTTAGATTAAAAAAAAAAGAAAGAAAAGAAAAGAAATGTTGTTAGATAGACCACCACTAGGAGCAACTCTTTTCAACATTTGTTCAGGGGGTTAGAGGACTTGGAGCAGAAGACTGCTGAGAAGGAAAAGAAGATCCTATGCCAGGCTGGTCAGATGTAAAAGATGTTTTTCATATTATAACCATTATTTTGTGTGTGAATTTTATTCCTCATTACTGTATGTATAGTTGACAATGTTAAGTATTTTTTTTAAATATCTAGTCTTTTGGCGGGGAGGGATACTGGGGATTGAACTCAGGGGGCACTGGACCACTGAGCCACATCCCCAGCCCTATTTTCTATTTTATTTAGAGACAGGGTCTCACTGAGTTGCTTAGCACCTTGCTTTTGCTGAAGCTGCCTTTGAACTCAGGATCCTCTTGCCTCAACCTCCGGAGCCGCTGGGATTACAGGTGTGCACTACTGCACTGGGTCATCTAGTCTTTCTAGGTATTCTAAAGTGCCCAATATACATCAAAATTAGAAGTAGTAAAATGCAACATATTTTGTAAATTTCTTTTTTGTTAAAATTCATATGAAATGAAAAAAAAATCATATGAAATGTTTTGAGGGTGGGGAGAATTGCCAAAACCCCTCTCGAGTAGTATATATTGTGTGCTGGTTCTCTGGAGAAGGAAAGGGAAAGAGCACCATGCTGGTATGTTTATAATGAGGCAAGAGCAACCACTATTTCTTAGTCTATGTGTTTGTTTCACTTTGCTGTGTACATAATGTATACAAAGGACAAACAAGTCCTAATCTACATCTAGTCTTTCTAGATGCTATAGAGATTGCCAGTCTATGACAGAAGTAGAATTAGTAAACAAATTTTCTGTTTTATGTTAAATTCCTAGGAAAGATTATCTTGTGAAAATTTCAGCATTATAGTCCACTGTGTTGCTAAAGGTCCAGAATTATTATATTTTAAAGGCATTTTCAAATTAGAACTATTGTTACATGTGTGCAGTTTTGAGACTGTTGTTTACACGGGCAAATTGAGTCCTTACATGAAACATCTAGTCTGTCTAGATGTTTAGAAGTGTCCAATATATGTTAAATGTACAGATAATAAAATTTCTCTTTGTAAATATCTTTTTTGCTAAAATTCATATGAAATGTTGTGTTTGGGATGAAAATGTAAAACCACCTCTGTGAGCAGGATAGTACCATCTGTACTTGTTCAGCTATGTGAAGGATGTGGGAGGGAAGCAATTGCAAAAGATAAAATGTTAGTGTGTTCATACTTGGACATTTGCATGCATCATTTTTCTGTGTTTTGTGCACTTTGTTCTACTGCGTATATAATGTGTAAATGAGTCCCAATTTTGTGACATCTACTCTGTAGATGTTAAAGAGGATGCCAGTATGTGATAAAGTAGTTAGTAAAATTAGCACATTTTGTACATTTTGTTTTGAAATTCATAGGAAAGCTTGTCCTCTGTAAATGACTTACAGATAATGTTCAGTCTCCAAGCATTGTATATGCCTATATTGTCCACTGAATTGAAAGTACAAGGAAGTGAGAAGGAAAAGGTTCAAGAACCAAATGGTCATATTAGAAGGTTTTTACCTCAAATTACAACCTTGCTATATGTGTAATTTTATTTACCAGTGCTGTATGCATAGTGGAAAAGTTCTTATGTGAAATATGTAGTCCTTCTAGACATTTAGAAGGGCTTTTAAAAGTAGTAGTAGTAGTAGTAGTGGTAGTAGTAGTAGTAGTAATAGAATAAATTATTTGTAAAGATTTTTTTAAAAAAACTTCCAACAGTAGTACTCTCTGTTGTTTATGGGATTCAGGATGATGTTTGTCATTTTCTTTAACCTTTTCTGTGTTTTCCAAATTTTCTATAATGAGCAAGTCTGTTTTATACCCAAGGAGAAATTATTGGGAAAAAAAAAGAAACAGAGATCATAGGATCTGCCTGACCTGCCTTTCCAATATAATCGAGAAAGACTGGACAGAGAATATTAGGGGTAGGTTCCAGGAAATCTCCTTGAGATGCAAATCCCAGACCTAGTTATAAAATATTTTTTCAAGACAATAGACTTGTTTAAATTGTAGTTGTTTTTCAAAAGCCAAGGGTGGGAGGAAAGAATGGTCTTATTACAGTGGAGCAATACTGCCACCAAAAGAAAAATATTGAAGAAACCTTCATGATCAGAGGTGAAAGAAAGGAAAGGAGAAGAAAGGGAAATTTTATATGTATACTGATTTCCTCCTTTTGCCTGTCCCTCACTAACCAGTCTTATTCTCTTCAGTAGTCACTATTAAGCTACTGATTGATTATGGCTGGTCTTATCTTGAGCCATTTGACTGGCTAGAAAGAGGGGTAGATCTCTTGAGATTCTGAAAGTTCTTCCTAAAGAAAACAAAAGACCTTGACAGGAGGGATGGGATGATAGCATATGCTAAACAAACATGTCAGGATCAAAACCTTTGGGTGGATTTCCAAACAGTAGTTTTCAAATTGTACTTTATGGAGTGCCAGGGATTCACTAGAAGTGGTTAGGGAAACTCATTTTAACCAGAGTAACCCACTTTGGCTACTTTATGTATTGAATTTCCACAGGTAATTATCTTGGAAGAATAAGACAATATCAACCCCGACCCCAAGATGGCAGCACCCTGCGAAGTGGATGTGGCAGCCTCCGGCGAAAGTGATGGCCAGGGCAGGGGTTTTGGATCCTGGCTGGACAGATGGTTGGAGGTGCTGGGAGTGGACCAAGCCATTTATGGTGCCTACATCCTTGGTGTCCTGCAGGAGGAGGAGGAGGAAGAGAAGCTGGATGCTCTGCAGGGTATCCTGTGTGCTTTTCTGGAAGAAGATTCCCTCCGTAATATCTGCAAGGAGATTGTGGAACGGTGGTCTGAAACTCAGAATGTTGTCACCAAAGTGAAAAAAGATGAGGTACAGGCCATTACTATCCTCATTGAGAAGCAGGCACAGATTGTAGTGAAGCCAAGGGTAGTGTCAGAAGAGGAAAAACAGAGAAAAGCTGCCCTGCTGGCCCAGTATGCTGATGTAACAGATGAAGAAGATGAAGCAGATGGAAAGTATGATTCAGGTGCCACCATGATGAACGTTAGTTCTGACAAATCTCTGTTTCGAAACACCAATGTAGAAGATGTCCTCAAAGCTCAGAAATTGGAGCGAGACTCACTTCGGGATGAATCCCAAAGGAAGAAGGAAGAGGACAAGCTACAGAAGGAGAAAGACAAACTAGCCAAGCAGGAACGCAAGGAAAAGAAAAAGACACAGAGAAGGGCACGAAAGTGATAACCCTGACCTGTTTAATTCTTTCTCCACATCAAGAACTTGATCAAAGGGAAAACTGATTTTGCATTATGTGTATTTAAGAGACATGGTAGAATATTGCATAGTGATGTCCCAAAACATTTCCACTTTTGTTTGCATGGTCAAAAGGAAAGTCACAATCACTTCTAATAGCAAAATTTGCCTTATTTTGGTGGTGTGGGTGACCAGATTACTATAATTGATGTCTTTAACAAAGAGCTGCACTGGGGCAATCTTTACATTTAATACAGAAGTTTTGTGTTCCTTTGGCTCCTTTTTATTTTAATTTGTTATATATGACAGCAGAATGCATTAAAATTCATATTACATATGTAGAGCACAATTTTTCATATCTCTGATTACACAAAGTAGAGTCACACCATTCATGTTTTCATACACGTACTTAGGGTAATGATATCCATCATATTCCACCATCATTCCTACCCCCATGGCCCCTCCCCTTTCTCTCCCTCCCCTTTGCTCTATCTAGAGTTCATATAATCCTCCCCCATGCTACCCCTCCCAACCTCACCATGAATCAGTCTCTTTATATTAGAGAAAACATTCAGCATTTATTTTTTGGGGATTGGCTAACTCCACTTAGCATTATATTCTCCAACTCCATCCATTTACCTGCAAATGCCATGATTTTATTCTCTCTTTTGTTGAGTAATATTCCATCGTGTATATATACCACATTTTTCTTTATCCATTCATCTACTGAAGGACATCTAGGTTGGTTCCACAGTTTAGTTATTGTGAATTGTGCTGCTATGAACATTGACATGGCTGTGCCCCTGTAGTATGCTGGTTTTAAGTCTTTGGGTATAAACCAAGGAGCGGGATAACTGGGTCAAATGGTGGTTCCATTCCCAGTGTTCCAACGATTCTCCATACTGCTTTCCATATTGGCTGCACCAACTTGCAGTCCCACCAGCAATGAATGTGTGTGCCTTTTTCCCCACATCTTCTTTTGGCTCCTTTTTTTAATAAAATGTCTTCTCTTGCCTTGAATAAGTTTTCCATGGATAAATATCAGGATTCAAAAAGCTAACTGTTAGAGTTTTTAACTAGAAGAAACATGACCATTCCTCTGAAAAGTGGAAATACAAACTACTTCAGAGGTGATATTTACTCCTAAATATAGTATTGTTCTATGGCTGATATATAAAGCTAATGAGGAAGCCAGGTTGGGGTGGTGCACACCTGTAATCCCAGCTCCTGGGAAGATTGAGGCAGGAGGATAACAACTTTGAGACCAGCTTGAGCAAGTTAAACTAGTCTCAAAAAGGCCTAGGGACTTAGCTCTGTGTTAGAGCACCACTGGGATCAATCCCCAGTGCTGCAAAAAAAAAAAAAAAAGAAAGAAAGAAAGTAAAAGCTAATGAGGAACCCTATCTGGATCCAGATTTTATGTTACATGACAGCAAACAAGAAAAGTGGGAAGAAATTATTTGGAATGTGTTCAGGATCTGAGATCTTTTTTAAAGAACATTTCAACCTATGGGAGAAAAGATTTTTTGATATAAAGATAGTTAGATTTTTCCTCTTCTAGGCTGTGACACGAGGATGTGTCAGTATTAAGTGCAACTGATTATTAAGCTAGATTCATTTTTTTATAATCATGAATTCTTTTGAGTGCCAGTAGGAATTTTGTTCCAATTTTTCCTAAACATGAATATTAAGATCTGGTAATTACCTGGTTTAGAGACACTGGGAAAATTAACCCTTTTAAAGAAACATGGGGCTAGGGCTGGGGCTCAGCAGTTACACACTTGCCTGGCATGTGTGAGGCACTGGGTTCGATTCTCAGCACCACATATAAATAAGAAACACTGGAAATCTTGCTAACAAAGATACTTAGGAGTGTACATAGTAGGTGCTTAACCAATTTATTGAATGAATGAATGAAAGAAGAACAAACTGCCTGGGAGAGTCAAAAGTGAGCAGGAGGGGCTGGGGATGTGGCTCAAGCGGTAGCGCGCTCGCCTGGCATGCGTGCGGCCCGGGTTCGATCCTCAGCACCACGTACAAACAAAGATGTTGCGTCAGCCGAGAACTAAAAAATAAATATTAAAAAATTCTCTCTCTCTCTCTCTCTCTCTCCCCACTCTCTCTTTAAAAAAAAAAAAAAAAAAAAAAAAAAAGTGAGCAGGAACTCTTCATTTCTACCTTTTTCACATGCCACATTGAATTTAAATAAGGCCCTTCTCTACTTGACTTCAGGCAATAGTAGACTGTCAGGCTAAAAAGAGCAATTTCTCTGACAAGACAAAGTAGATATTTTTATACTAGGAGTCAGCAAACTACCAACTGCAGGGCAAATTTGGCCATCTCTTTTTGTATGGTACAAACTAAAAATGTCTTTTGTTTTACATTTTTAAGCATTTATAAGAAAAAAAAAGCACATGATAAAGACCATATTGTGGCCTCTAAAACCTACTACCTAGCTCCTTAGAGATGGTTTGATGACCTTTGTTTTATATCACTAACTAGGAGATTAACAAAAACTTTCACCATTTTGCAGAAGGTTGAAAATAAAAATGCATGGTTAAGGAAAAGGAAATATGTCACCTCTTCATAAAGTCCTGTAACCAGGCATTACAAAAAATTGTCTTTAAATAAAATAAGTCACCAAAAAAAATCTTGCCAAAACCATGGCCTAGAGCATCACCTAGCTTTTGGTGCTTGATTTAATGTTTATAGAATCATTGTGGATGGAAGTTTCAGTCAGATTTGTTGGGATAGGACTAGAACATTTGCTCCCCTCATTTGTCCATTTCCCCAGAATTAGATGAAATCAGGATGTCTCTAGGTTCATTCACCCTTTGAAATTCACTGTATGTTGTAGAGTAATCCGAAAGTGAGAGGTTGGTTCTCATGATTGACTATACAAGGTTTCTTAAATCTTTTAAGTGGCATGTGTCACTTCCACTTGGATCCTATAGGCCATGGTAGTCACAAAGCCAATCCTGATATCCATGGGGCTGGAACATAAGCCTTTCCTAGTGAGGGGCCCCAAAGGGGGCAAGTATTTCAAGCAGTAATACAATTTATATGAATTCTTTAGAAAATAGAAAAGGAACGTAGCACTCAAAACATTTAAAATTCTCATTTCACTATTAGCCAAATGCAAATCAAATCAATCATCTGTTGGGTTGAGGTTGAACAAAAAATTTAATGGATAGCTATCCAGTATGAGTTAGAATGGAGGGAAATGAGCAATTTTAAACACGGGATTTTATTTTTTCCATATTTTTATTGATGCATTATAGTTATATATAATGGTGGGATTTGTTGTTAAATATTCATACATGCACACAATATAACAATATAATTTGGCCAATCTCATTCCCCAGTATTTTCTCTTTGCCTCCTCCTTCCTCCTCCCCCTGGTCCCTTTTCTCTACTATACTGATCTCCTTTTGATTTTCACCTCCCCGCACACACACTTCCTTTTCTGTTTTCCTCTCTAGCTTCCACATATGAGAGAAAAAAATATGTGCATTGACCTAAGTTTGGCTTATTTTTCTTGACATAATTTTTTAAACTTCCAACCATTTTTCATGTAAATGACATATTCTTTATGGCTTAATACAATTTCATTGTGTATATACCACATTTCTTTATCCATTCATCCATTGATGGACACCTTGGCTAATTCTATAGTTTGCTATTGCACACACTGTTTTTAGTAATGTAACTTGGAATTTTGGGAGAATAATTTGATTGCACCTATAAATTTTTTAAAATTTTCATATATTTATGCAAACAGTTTTACTTCTCAGGATCTATCCCACATACCTGTCTGCTAGTACCTAGTGTTAACAATGACAGGTATATGAAGCCAGTCTAGTTTTCATATCCTTCACCCCATGTTTCCCTAGTCCTCACTTTGGACATTTTTGAAGTTTCTACTTAGACTTGCTCCAAAATTTCACTACGATACACCATATTGTAGGATCTTTTCACACTTATCCCAGGTACCACTCAATGGGCCATTTCAGTTTGGGCTATCTGATGGTTGTCTTTGCTTGTTTGTATTTTTTTTCTTCCTGCAAGGTATCTATTGGCTATCTTAAATTGTTTCTCAATCTCTCATGTTTATTGTCACAATTGCCCTATGCATGCTTTCTCATTCTCTCTCTCTCTCTCTCTCTCTCTCTCTCTCTCTCTCTCTCCCTCCCTCCCTCCCTCCCTCCCTCCCTCTCTCCCTCCCTCCCTCCCTCCCTCTCTCCCTCCCTCCCTCTCTTCTCTGTTTTCCAGGAGATTTTACTTATGACTAATATTATAGGACTTTGAAAATATGTGGATAAAGATACAGAGACAGAAGACAAGTAGTGTGAAAAAGTGAAGAAAAACAATGATATTATTAGCTTCTTTTTATTTATTTGTCTTATACTCGACAGTAGAAAGCTATTCAATTTATTGTACACAAATTGAGCAGAATTTTTCACTTCTCTGGTTGTGCATGAAGTAGAGTCACACCATTCGTTCAATCATACATGTACCTAGTGTAATGATGTCCATCTTATTCCACCATTTTCCTACCCCTTTACTGCCTCCCTCCCTCCCCTTTGGCGTTAGCTTCTTTTAGTTAAGCTGAAGTATACAAATTTGGTGAGATTCAGCCTTTTAAATTAAAACATGGTAGTTTCATATTGTTCACATGATGCATAATATAAGATGAGACAGAACAAGATATAAGAACTAAAAATAGTATAGTAAATAATACTTGGAGGAGGGAAGTAACCTAAATTCTCAGTTTTCATAAAAGAGCTAATAGAGCAGCTTATAATAATCAAAAGAGGGTGTTGAAAACCTCCTGGTAACCTGAATGCATCACTGAGACTGCATATTTTCTTATGTCTTTGAGACTCAGGTGCAACACATTCTAGCCTTAGTGGTGAACGGATTGCTTTCACTAATACTACCCCACATTGAGCAGCATAGCATGGAGCAAGACTCTATTTACTGGAGTAATACAGGGTGGTAAGCACAGGACTTTGCCTTAGAAGTGCCAAGTTAGCAAAAGCTAGCAATGGGGAGATCCTAATGGTGCCTATGCCCTGAGCAGTCCCACAGATAAATCCTCTGAAACAGCCCTAATGTTGGGCAGAGCACACAACCCCAGTCTATTTGACCTCTATTTCAGTTAGCATCACCTGTGGCTGGTTGCAGTGGTCTAGGGCCGTAAGTCCACCTTGGCAGTAGATAGCCAGTGAGGGTGTGGGCCTTGGTCTTACCCAGTGCTATGCTAGTCTTGGCAGGCTGTGAGTTCAGGGTGTGATGCAGCATTGCAGTTTTTGTAACCACAGTGTGGCATAGGAAACTGGGGCTGGTTCCTTCATGAGATACTGTCCAGAGCCAGTAAGAATTCCACAGTGCTTGACTAAAGGTTGGTGACTGTGGATGAGCATTTGGACCTATCTCAGTCCCAAGAAGAGGCTTGTAGGGATGAACTATCTTTGTAGGGTTCTCACCCAATTCATGCTGAACACACCTACTATATATTTGGGGAAAACCTGGGCGTGGATTGCCCTCTAGTGCTAAAACAATAACAACACACCAACAGAGGACGCATAGCAAATCTGAATTTCAGGAACAATCCAGTGCTGAAATAGCACAAGTGAATACAAGCTCAGAGAAAATAAGCAGCCCATTTGAATTTCTGGAAGGACAGGCACAAACAAAGCCATATTATAAAGACTATAATAAATGCCTAATCCTTCGATGTGCAGATGACTTTCCACACCAATAAGCATCAAGAACTTCTAGGGAACCATGACCTGATATAAAGGTCAGCATAGCATGGAGCAAACTGACCACATAGTAACCAGTAAGGGGCAATTCTTAGAAAATGTAAAAGAGATGTTTTTTTTTTTAAAACTAAATGAACTTTAAGAGAACACAGAGAAATAATTAAATACTACAACAGAGAAACTTGACACAGAGGTGAAAGCAATTTTAAAAATCATGAAACTCCTTGAGCTAAGAAATATTAAGAAAAATTAAAAATGAGAACA